AGAGAGAGAGAGAGAGAGAGAGAGAGAGAGAGAGAGAGAGAGAGAGAGAGAGAGACAGCAGCAGATACCGCGCACTGCCACTCGGGCGTAGGAACGGCCCCGAGAAAAGGGGGTCTCCCAGCGTCCAAGGTCCAGAGGCGTCTTATTGAGAGCGGAAAGGGATAAGGTCTCTCCCTGTCTCTCTCTCTCTCTCTCTCTCTCTCACACACACACACACACACACACACACACACACACACACACACACACACACACACACACACACCCGGCATTTATTCTGTGGGATGTTTTTCTTCTTTCATCTATCATTTTTTATTTCCCCCCCCCCCCCACTTTCTTTTGGTTCTAGCGCTTTCACAAAACAAGAAAGTCCCGCTACCAGCGGGAGGCTCGGCAAGGCTCGGCTTACCGGTAGCGGGAGGCTCGGCAAGGCTCGGCTTACCAGTAGAGGGAGGCTCGACATCGATAGCTGAGAGGTACTGGTGGTTTAAACCGGTAGTTCTTGAAAGCCGCCCGCATCCGAAAAAACAAACAGGTGCCTTTCTTATTTTTCTTCTTTCTTTCTCCCATCTTGGGAGGCAACGCATGAACATGACCATTGCTTCCTGTATATTTCAAGCTGCAGGAGCGCCCCGCACCTGCTAGGCTCTGGGAGCACAGAGTAGATGGTAGTGGGTGTGATGAGGGGAGGGTATCCAACTCCAGGGGGTGATTTTCCCTCCATTCCCGCTGCGAATCAATCTGGCTCCCTCCGAGCCCAATTGGGCCCGCCCTACTCCTACTGTACCAACTCAATTCCATCAATGTGTGGCTAGGTAGGGGAAACGGATCCGGGAAATCTGTTGTGGGGGGGGTAAGGGGGATATTGTCGCCGGCCATGGTCCAGTCGTTGAAACATAGACGGTAATTCTTATGACGGGCTTCCAAGCGGTTATTGTCGTCTAGGTGCCCTTTTTAGCACTACCCAGGCCCACCTTCCCCTGCAATAAAAAAACTAATCAACCACTTCCCCCCGAAAGTGTGGGGAAATCAGAAGGGCCATTCCCCTCTTGTACCCCGGGGCGAGGCCCAGACCTGGTGGCCCTGGTACCTCTTTCTTTGCCTGTTTGTTTTCTGGATATTTGAACCATGGGCCCATATTGTTTAATTCCAAGGTTTCCCGCTACATTGCTCGTGGGAACGTGGCAAAAACGCCAAATTTCCCCCCTCCCAATGTTAACCACCTTGAATTCATGGGCAGACTGCTGCCAGATCTTCCATGCATGACAGGGGAGTTGAGGGAAACAGCAAAGTCTACAACTAGGGGAAAGGCCTGATGCGATGACCACCAGTACTTGGCCCATGGATGGTGTCACAATGGTCTATCACTGGTCAAGCTTAAACCACCAGTACTTGACCCATTCATGGGCCGCGGGTAAAAATAAACTAGAAGCGTTTCCAGTCGGATGAATTTGGGCACTGCCCAAGTGCGCCGTTTGTTCATCCTTGTCGCGGCTTGTTAACCATCGCAACTTTAGGGAGTCCTGGTGTTGTAAGATCGCAACATAAAAAAGGAAGGCTGGGGATAACCAGGACCAGAGGTATCATCCCATTAATGTACACCAATAGCTTAAACCACCGGTTGTCCAGCTCAGACCTTCAATAAAAACACCGCTGGTTGTGCCCCCAGCCGGAAAAAAGACCGCCATGGAGAGACTTGGCGAATCGCACCCAGCGACTTTTTGGGTTTTTAAGGGTCAGGCAAAAAAGTGCATTGAAAAAGTGAGGCGTGGAACAACTGGTGGCTTAAACCACCAGTACTCACTAAAGTCGTGCCCGTTAACCAGCCAAAATTTTAGGAAACGTAAAGGCCACGACGGGAGCGCCCAAATTCATCCGACTAGAAAAATTCCTACTCTATTCTTTTCAGCGTGGGTCGTGCCACTCTGTGACCTAGCAGTTGGGGGCATGAAGCCTGGTAGAGATTGGGCATTGGGATATAGGGGTGAGGCAGGTAGGGCTGGGCTGCTGAAAGGCCCTAATGGAATGACTTGCTGATTTCTGCTGCCGAGATCTGACTGCGAGGTTGTATAGTCGTGTCTTAGGGTCAGATTCGTAATTTTGTTTGTGTCAGGGACTAACCGCTGGTCTCGTCCTGAGGGAAATTCGTGAGGGACATATCGGCAATTTACACAAAATTGCAGGCCCGAGTTCCCCTTAGCCATTACGGCTCTTAGCAGACCCGGGCTATCACTAGGACAGCAGGGACAGCAGGCCCAACTGGGCCTTGGGCTGTAGAGACGGGTTGGACGCGGTATAGCCGGGTAGGGCCCAGGCCGAACAGGCCAAACTGATGCGGTACCGGTCCAGTAGGTCTGTGCATGGTTGAATTCCGCTGCTTATCCTTGTCTGTGTGGAGTTTGGACTCTGTCTCCTCTCCCCTTTGTCTGGTATGTGTATGGGCGTGTATCAGACACTCTGTGTGTGAGTGGCGAGAAAATCATCAGACAACCAAGTTCATAACACTAAGGCAGGTGTTTTTTTCGTTCAGAATGCTTCTATGATCTGAGATTTGGGGGACAGAATGTCAGTGCTCTTGTGTGGATAACACACTTGTCCTTTGGCCCCGGTATCTCAAGGATTTCTATAAAAAAAAGAGTTTCCTCAATTGGTTCTCATTTTTCAGAAGTAAGTCCGTTTGTTTGTTTACGTGTGGTTTTGAGAAAGCTTTAGGATTCTGGGGACTTCTAGCAACTCGCTTTAGGCTGTTTGATACTGGTACATTCAGGGATCTGCGGTTGTTCGATGCCAGAACGACGCTGGCCGGTGCTGGGGTGTTGCCCTGTAACCTGCTGATTGCAGGAGTGTGAGGCCTGGTAGAGAGATCTGGGGATGCTTTGGGGTGGGCATTCCAAGGGACAACCAAGGGTTGCTGTTGGGACGGCGCTGGCCGGAGCTGAGGCGAGTCGTGTTGCTCTGTAACCTAGCCGAGTGGGGGTGTGAGGCCTGGGAGAGCTCGACAGGGAATAAGACAGTGTTGGACAGTTTTAGAGAGTTTTGTTTGGGAGTCTAGGGGTTCTGAGCATTTGAAAAGAGGTCAGTAGTCATTCATACTTTTTTAACCTCTCGTTTAATTCTCTTGAATTTCTTCAATAGTTCTCAGATTGATTCT